AACATCAGTGCTATCCCGTCTGTTAGTGACAGTTGAAACAGGACAGGTGTGCTTTAGGAACAAAGAACTTCCCCTGAACTCACCAGTCCCATACCTACCCCCTCACCTGCTGTAAAATGGAGGCTGAAGGCTCTGGAGGCGCCTCGCCTGCAGAGTGGAACTGGCAGGTGTGACTCTCCCTTTGGGGCTTGTTAGCACTTCCCATGAAGCTGTCATCCCTCCCTGGCCACCAGAGACACATTTGTTTGCTAAGTGATTGGTGCTGACCCAGCCCTGACCCTCGGTTGCCATCCCCTGAGCATCTAAAGACAATAGCTACAGAGACTCCTGAGACAGCTGCCTCCACCCATGGGGAGCAGGTAAGATGGCTGCAGGTGCCCAGGCTGCCTGAAGCCTGAGCCATCCAGTGTCACCCAGCGGGCCTGATGAGAGAAAGTCAGGTCTGAGAGAAAGGCAGGCCTGAGACAGAGCCACCCACACCCAGTTTGGGAGCCACTGAGAAACCCTTCCTTCCCCCAAAACTAAGCAAATTATTTGCCCAACACACACATGCGCGCGCACACAGACACACTTATCTTTCTTCTAACCATTATTAATGAATTAATGAATTAAAGAAATAATTATTGCCAAAAACTGTGATACCCACTAGGGACATAATGAGAATTTTTAACAATTAGATACACAGGGAGGTAAATTTCAAGTTGAGAGTGGCAAGTTCTATGGAAGTTTGCATTGTTTTGTTTTGTTTTTGGTGGGAAGGAGGGATACAGCTTTCACACTTTATTCTGCTTACACTGAAGTTTCACAATTAAATTCTGAACATATGTACATGCTAACGTTATGTCCAGGTCATTGAAATGTAGAGACAAAAGGACAGATGGCTTCAAGGGTAAGGTTGTGATACAGCCAGTGTTACACAAAGGATATATTAAACAAATCTAGAATCTAGGTGGTGGTGAAATTCTGTCTATATCCTGACATATTCAGTAGTATAAGTAAACTCTACAGGGATAGGAGAGCTACAAAGCTACAGGTTGCAATTGTAGAAAAATATGTTTGGAAATGAGCTGACAGATCCTTGAGGGGGCATTTTCACAAAAGAATATGACCTGGTCTTTCTCCCCTGGGAAGTCCCCTTTGAGTTCAGACTAAAGGCTGATAGGGGGTGAGAAGACAAAATTGCAAGTGTTAAGGAGATGGTCTAGGCAGAGTGGCCAGTGCAACAGCTTTTGGGGGAGGGGCCAGGCTGAGTGGGGACTATAGATGAGGCCAGTGTGGCTGCTGGAGCGAGGCCCTGAGGGAGAATGTTAAACTAAGTTGGGTGGACCATGAGTGGTCCTTGTCAGTGTTAAAGTTTTTGGCTTTTACATTTTATAAGGATAGGTTTATTAGGAAAAGAAGAAAGAAAAAGAGAGGCACCTGCAGAGTCAGAGGTGGGCAGGAGAGCACCGTCAGTTTTCATTTTAATAGCCAAGGGAAACTATTGACATCGCAGGGTGACATGGTCAACTCTGTGCTCAGGATGGATTCTTCTAGACACAGTGTAGAAACAGGGTGGGGAGATCAGAGGTGGATGTGCCAAGACCAGTTTAGAAGCGACTGGGGTATTCCAGGATGAACGAGGATAGCACTGGCTAGGGATGTGGAAGGAGATGACAAGGAAAGACAAAATCCAAGAGACTTACAAAGGTGAGTTGACAGGACTTGACGCCTGGGTTAGAGATTTGAAGAGGAGGAAAGTGCTAGGATGTCTGAGTTGCTACTGACGGAACAGATGGATGTTGACGACTTGAGGGACAGGGCCATGTGAGATCCACATTGGACACCCTGAGTTTGAGGTATCTTTGAGGTACTTTGATACGCGACTCTCGCGCCCAATGGGGAGGAGGCTGGGGTTATAATGTAGAGGTGATGGTAGCAGTTGCTTGGTGGGGGTGAGGTCTAATGAGAGAGGAGGGGGGCCAAAGGCCAAGGCCGGCAAAGTAAACAGAGGGAGGAGGGGGGGGGCAGGGAAGGGTGTTTCAGGAAGGAGGCATGTCAGCTGCTCTACAGAAGTCAAGATGAAGACTAATGTGAAAAGTGTCTGTGTACTTGGTGACATGAAATCATCGGTAACAGTAGTAAGGCTGTTTTATATAGTAGAGGGAGGGGTGAAATGAAACTTGGTTTTAGAATGGGTTGAGGGATGAGTGGGAGGTGAAGAAATGAAGACAGCTTGGCTGAGAACCTTGACTGTGAAGCAGAGAGTGGGTGCTGGAGGCAGATGTGAGATTAAGATTTTTTTCTGTTAATGAAGTGACTCAAGAATTTGTAAATACCTATTGCATGAATCCAGATTTGTGGGGTGGGAATATGTGGTTATGATGGTTCAATCTACCTCAGGGAAAGGGATCTAAATAGTGTAGAGCAGGCCATTAGCTACTAGCTGTTCTGATCAATGAAAATTAAGTTAGGTTATAAAACCAAGTTTTTTTTGTTGTTGTTTTGTTTTTTTTTTATTAAAGATTTATTTATTTGTGCATACAGAACTGGGGTACAGGCCAGAGGTGCAGGGGCGGTGAGAGGCTTCACCAGAGACAGAGCAGGGAACAGAACAGGCAGATCTATGAAGTACACTGCTGAGGGGAGCAGCGGGCGGGTCAGGAGAGGTCTGCCACACCATGTGATCACCTCCGGGGCAGGCGGGAATCGAACTCATGCGGAAGCGGCTTTAGATTCTCAGTGCTGTGCTTTAACCCGCTGCGCCACCAGGGAGGGACCCAAAACCAAGTTTTTTAAAAGATGAAAACAAATGTTACCGTATGCAAATTCTCGAAAAGGGATAATATTTATCTACAGGTAGAGACAAATGTAAAAAAAAAAAAAAAATTGGGTCGGAGTGCCTGAGGGGAAGGAGGTATTGGCTCCCAGGACCTGGTGGAGTCCATGCCTGAGCTGGAGGGACAGCTGTGGGTCGGAGGGACTGGCCGGCACAGCCACAGTTGAAATGGCTGGTGGAGGGAGACAGGAGGTCCCATTTGAAAGACTCCGTTTGGTGACAAAAGTTGAGGGCACCTGCCCAGGTTATTCCCCGTCACGGGCTGCCCTCCACTATGCTGTTCCATGTGTGCCTGGCCCCGTTCATGATGCCCCGGCTCCTGTTCTTTCAGGGGAGCTTGAAGGGGAGAAAGGCCAAACTGTGGCAGGGGTGGGGAGGGAATAGTGAAGGGCAGGAGCAGAAATCGCTTTCAGAAACAAGGTCATGCAGAGGGCAAACATGACATTTGCTCAGAGAGAATCTTAACTATTTATTTTGGTTCCCCCTCTTTTTTTGTGGGGGGGTGGAGAAAGAGAGAGCAGTGGTGGCCAGAATTCCTGGTAGGGGAGTAGAGTGAGGGAGAAGGGAGTGGAGACATCATCACTCCTAAGACTTGATCCCCTTTGAGGTGGAAAGGGTAGCTGCTTCCTCAGGTGAGACTGGGGAGGGAGTGGCCACAGCAGAGAGGTGTGGGGAAATCAGCAGGGGCCTACCAGGGGTGGGCCTGGAGACCCAGGTAAAGCCCATTCTTGTGTAAAGGTGGTTGCATACAGCCAGGCATACACATCCCAGGTAGTCTTCCTGTGCCCACCTCTAGCGACCTGTGGTGTGGCAGAAACCCTTCTTTGGGGTCCAGTGATAGCAAGGATCCCTGAAATAGGAAGCCGGGCTGGGCCGGGAGCAGAGTCCTGGTGCAGGGGGAGGCCAGGGGGAAGCAGCCTTGGTAATCATTAACCTGGCGGTTTGAAACCTGAACTGCGGTGCTCAGGTTCTATTGATTCACTGGAAGCTCAGCAGCTGGAGCTGGTGGCAGCTCAGAGACCCTGGAGAGGACCCGAGAAGCAGAGGGAAACAGGAACCAGGCCAAATGGGCTGCGAAGGAAGGCGCGGCAGGGTCAGAGGGCTGGGCAGCAGTGGGGAGGCCAGGAGGCCACCGTGGGTCTTGGGAGAGGGGCAGTCACCGATACGACTAAGCAGAAAAGGGCCCAGGCGTGAAGATCCTAGCAGAGAGCAGGAAAATAAAGCCCAGAGAAGCAGTGACCTGCCCAAGGTGACCAGGTCAGAGCCTGCACCAAATCCTGGACCAGCTGATGTCACTGCTGCAGAGATGAAGGGTCCTGAGGCTGGGAGAAGCTGAGGTAGTGGATGTGGTTTTTACTGAGAGATTATCCTGAGCAGGGCCTCTCTTCATAGTCAGCATCCAAGAATTGGTGCTGAACGGAGAGGGAGGGTCGGCATCTGAAGAGGGATGAAGGACAAGTAGAAGCTAGAAGGAGCCGCCCAGCAAGGAACAAAGATGCCTGCCCACATTCACTAAGCCAAAGACCAAGAGCTTTTCCCAGGACATCCTACTAGGCTCCTGGCTCCCCACTGTTTCCAACAGAACTCACAGGCCTGTGTCACCTCTGAGGCAGAAGGGGAGCCCTGTGTAGGGAGCCACAGTCTGGCAGGCAGGGTCAGAAACATGTGGGCCCCGCAGGCCATCGTGGTCGTCACAGTTCCCCTTGCCAGGGCCAGCTCCTAGAATAGCTCTTCTCTGAGCTGGAGGGGACTGAGCCAGATGCCGCCTGCTGGGTGATGTGCAGCCTGGGAGAAAGCAGAGGAGGGAAGGGGCAAGCGCTGAGGTGGAATCAGAGAGACACACAAGTAAGGCAATCTGATGGTGGAGAGAACTAGGAAGGAGACACACCCAGGTAATGTGGCTGATGGCATAAGGAAACCTTGAGGTTCTACAGAGACACAAGCAGACACAGGTTGCTGAGCCCAGACTGGGCTCCCAAGAGGCCCCCTGCTCTGTGCTCTGTGTGTGCTCGTGGTACTAGCAGGTGTCAGCCTGCCCAGCCCTACGTCACACACACAGTCCTAATCTGGCACATTCCAGGGGTGGCGGTGTGGCTGGTGGAGTGGGGATGATGAGGTGTGTGCTGGGGGTGAGGGGGTGCAGGGTCCCCAGTGGATAACCTCTCCCCCTTTTCTCTGACAGCTCAACATCCTGGTGGACACAGGCAGCAGTAACTTTGCAGTGGGGGCTGCCCCCCACCCCTTCCTACATCGCTACTACCAGAGGCAGCTGTGAGTCCTGGGGAGGGCTGGAGGGAGACCCTTCCCCAAGCACACAGGGCCCAGGGGGTGGGGGGAGGGCTGCAGGGGGACTTGCTCTTCAGCCCCTTTCTCCCTGCAGAGGGAAGAGCAGGTGACAGTGACCAGGAGCATGAGTGGAGAGGGCTTTGAGAAGGGTCAGTGGCAGCGCAGGCAGTGCTTCAGGCACAGGACAGCGCCCCGCCCGCGGAGGGAAAGAACAGGAGCGACACCAGAACTGTCAGAGCAACCTCAGGGTCCCATTCTCTGCTCCAGCCCATGCCCTGCGTGACTTGTGGTGATTTCCAACACCAGCTCCGGTGCACAGGCAGCGTGACAGCAGCGCTGGGGGCACAGCGCCGCTGCTGGTGGCTCTGCATCGTTCGCGAGCGAAGGCCGTCTTGCAGGAACCCACTGCCTGCACCGGGGTCCGGGCCTGAAAGCCAAACTTCACCCTGCACCGCCTGGTGCCAGCAGCTGGATGTGCTTAACTGGTGGGAGGGAGGGTCGAAGTGGCTGTTTAAGGGAAAGCAGTGCGGGAGGACCTGGGAGGCCCTTAGCCTGAAGGCAGGACGCAGCGGTCCGGCAGCTAACGTCCAAGGCGTCACCATGTGTGAAAACACCAGAAGTTTAAATCCCACTCTTCGATTTCCAGGCATGTGGACAGCCAGACACCCCACGCCCCCCATTCTTAGGCCGCTTCCTTGTAACTTCCCTATCAGAGAGGGCAGTCGGGGTATGGCGAGGTCAGGGGCCGTGAGGTTTCATTCCAGGTTCTTGTCCCAGTTCCATCTCTGCGCCATCACACACGCAAGCCTGGTGGGTGGCTGGCTGGCCAAACACAGGGCGGTGCGCCTGCTGATGAGCGTGTTTGTGTGCACCTACCTGCTCTGCTGAGATGCTTGTGCAACTCCCCTCTGGAGGAACTTGCTGTCGTGGAGATGCCACATTCACTCCGCCTGGCACTTTCTCTACTGCTCAGATGGTACCACCAGGTCCCAAGGCAGCAAGAGTCAATGGCTTCCTTTCTCTGGGAGTTTGAAGAGATCCCGCTAGCTATCCCGTCAGCAGCAGCAGCAGCGGGAACAGGCACAATACACAAAGCCTAGGCTTGTTCTTCATAGGGCCTGAGTGAAGATCTAGGAATATGAGCTATGGAGACAGGAGAGCAACCCCCAGCAACAGCACCCCTTCTCTGTTTGCAGGATCATTTTATGTGCTTGGTCTAGGGATTTTCTGTCCAGTAGCCTGAAGGCCTCTCCTGTAGGGCAGCCCTGAAATAAAGTCAGGCACTAGGCAGCGATTGGCTGTATCCCTACACTAGTAGTTGTGGTTGTGCAAACTTCGCTCTCTGGCTCCTTCCACAGATCCAGCACCTACCGGGACCTGCGAAAGGGCGTGTATGTGCCCTACACCCAGGGCAAGTGGGAGGGGGACCTGGGCACCGACCTGGTGAGCATCCCCCATGGCCCCAACGTCACCGTACGTGCCAACATCGCTGCCATCACTGAATCGGACAAGTTCTTCATCAATGGCTCCAACTGGGAGGGCATCCTGGGGCTGGCCTATGCTGAGATCGCCAGGGTGAGAACAAAGCATAGCCCCAGACGTGACATCTGCACCCTGTACACTGCAGGCTACACAGAGACAGAGCTGGGAGAAAGGGGGAAGGGCACTCGGGAAATCAGGTTAAAGTGTTATTTACCAGGGGCAGGGCTGTCATCTGGATTTCATCTCCACAGAGAACAGAAATACAGGACACTGATAGGTACAGGAATAGGCTGTTTTCTATTTGCTCTCAGATCTTTAAAAATAAGGGGGTGGTCCTCATAAATCTAAAGTAAGATAGGCACATGGGGATCAAAGATCTGGAGCCATCAGAACTTTGCTACTTGCACTGCCAAAGCCACTTGCTAACCTCTCTCACCACCGGCTCTCTGTACCTTAAGATGGTCTTTGCCAAGGACCAGCCCCCAAATTTTTGCTTTTGCCTTCCAGTTTAGACAGGAAGCTGGCCTCTTTCCATTTGGGCCCTCCATGTGAGTTTTTACTCTTTTGTCTCTACCACAGCCCGATGACTCCCTGGAGCCTTTCTTTGACTCCCTGGTAAAGCAGACCCACGTTCCCAACCTCTTCTCCCTGCAGCTCTGCGGTGCTGGCTTCCCCCTCAACCAATCGGAAGCACTGGCCTCGGTTGGAGGGAGCATGGTAAGTGGTCCCAGGAGGAGGTCCTATCACTGACAGAGATGGGGGCCACTGCCTCACCCCCTCCAGCTTATACTGTCATCTTGGGCTCCATATTTAAGATCAAAAGGAAACATCATCAGGGCCTCCCTGGTGGCACAAAGGTTGTTAAGTCTCAGCACTATGAAGCTATAGGCAACCACTGTGGTTCGAAAATTCTGGCAGTGACCCACATGACGCAGCAGACCCACATGATGCAGCAGACCTCTCCTGTCTCGCCCACTGCTCCCCTCAGCAGTGCATTTTAGTGGGTCCACCTGTTCTGCTCCCCACTGTGTCTGGAATCCTCTTACCCGCACTCCCCACCCACACACACAACTATGACTCTAGCTCTTGTATGTATAAATAAATCATTTAAAAAAAGAAAACATCTTCATATTCCCCACCCCACTTTTCTTTTTCCATCCTTTTCTTCCTTGTATTGTCCCAAAAAGGACTTGACGCATCTATAAGAAACTTGGAAAGAATCAAATGTTTAGGAAAATATTCAAAGAAATAAAAATAAGTACCTGTCAAATTTAGATTATTTACTCTGATGATAAGAAGGCCAAGATGTAAGGAGTTTAAAAGTCTATTTATTGATTAATCAGGACAACTGGTGAATGATTCTCCATCTCCAAAAAGTGGAGAAAACAAAACTTATGAAAAAAATAATCACTCATCCAACATTTATTGTGCCAGTTTAGGTTTAAATAACTTTATATCAAAGGGTATGTGACTGAAACAAATAAACTAAAAATCCTGGAAACTCTCTTCCCCTGAACACATTTCAAAACTAAATCACTTTGGGGCATCATTTGATGAGCAGAAAGAGGAGAAAGGCGATCTGTGGACCTCACCACCCTGTTACCACCACTCGCTCTCTTTCTGTGCCCGACACTGGCACCCGCCTCTTCTCCCTAGATCATTGGGGGCATTGACCACGCGCTGTACACAGGCAGTCTCTGGTACACACCCATCCGGCGGGAGTGGTACTACGAGGTGATCATTGTGCGGGTGGAGATCAACGGGCAGGACCTGAAAATGGACTGCAAGGAGGTAATAAACCAGGGGAGGGAGAGTGGGGAGTCAGCCCCTGGGGTACATGAGGTTAGGTGGGGCAAGGTGCAAGACCTGAGGCTGGGGGCCAGGGGCTGGCAGGGCGCCTTCCCCGGGGCCACATGCCTTAATGAAATGAACGATGCACATCTGAACCCTCGCTGCCTCGCTTCATGGCGTAGGCGAGGGGCTGTGAGCGGCTGTGCTACAGTGCCAGGCTAGCTTTGGAGTCAAGAAAGATCTCGGCTTCTACTTCTGCCATTTACTAGTTATGTGTCCTCAGGCAATTTACTATTTTGTGTTTCAGTTTCCTCAACTACAAAACAGAGGTAAAGGTAGTTTCCAAAAATTGTGGTGAAAACAAAGAAAATGAATAAAATGTTTCTCCCAGTGCCTAACACATAGCAATAACCTATAAATGGCAGTTAAGCCATTATTACGAAGTTAGGTTTTGCTATCTAGATTCTGCATGTATGTTAAATTAGAATCAAGTACTATGAAAGTTAAAAGCCTTACAGAAGTTATTTTTAAGATTCAGTCCTTGCACACCCAAGATAATACGAACTTTTACCGAGTGTTTTCTATGTGCTAGGCACCGTTCTAAGCACTTCAAACGTATTATCTAAGCTTACAATAACTCTCTGAGGTAGGTAGTGTCATTATCCTCATTTTAAAGATGAAGAAACTGAGGCACAGTGGTTAAGTAACTTGCCCAAGCAAATATCCCCAAGAAATGGCAAATCCTGAATGTCAATTCAGGCAGGACCCAAGTAGTTAGACTTACTCCTCCAATCCTAATCAAGTCCTGGCATCAAAAAAGGCTTTTGACATTTTTAACGGTCTTTTCTCCCTCTCAGTACAACTATGACAAGAGCATTGTGGACAGTGGCACCACCAACCTTCGTTTGCCCAAGAAAGTGTTTGAAGCTGCTGTTAAATCCATCAAGGCTGCCTCCTCGGTCAGTGGGACTAAGGTTGGGGGGAGGGTCAGAGAAGTCTCTGAAAGTCACATTCCTCAACAAGCAACAAGAGATCTACCCTCAGATCCTTCTACTCAGATCCTTTAAAAGTTGCATCACACAATAAAAAGGCCCCTGCTATAGAGCTCTGGCCTCAGTTCCCACACTCTTCTCTATCCCATGGGTTGCACTTTACCTTTAATCCAGTCTGGTTATTCCTCAGAAAAGCACTAGAGGGTCCAGGAAGTGTTTTCTGAAAGTGGGAGAGGTGAGATGGTGAAAGAGACCGTTTTCTCATTGTGATCCCTTTCTTCCCAACACAGACGGAGAAGTTTCCAGATGGTTTCTGGCTTGGGGAGCAACTGGTGTGCTGGCAAGCAGGCACCACCCCTTGGAACATCTTCCCAGTCATCTCCCTCTACCTGATGGGTGAAGTCACCAATCAGTCCTTCCGCATCACCATCCTTCCACAGGTACGACTCTAACCTGAGTTGGTGGGGTGCCAGGAAGGGAACCAAGTCCAAGACAGTGAAAAGGCAAGCCTTTCTAGAAGTTGGAAGACAGAACAGATGAGTGTCCAGTGGTAAAAAGCTCTTAGAAAACTCACTCTTCAGAGCTGAGGATGGCGAAAGGAAGAGTGGTCTAAAAGCATAGAAGGTGGCAAAGGGTAGAGGAAGGAGTGAGGGAGACAGGCTCTCACTCTTCAATTGCTTATCCTTAGCAATACCTTCGGCCAGTGGAAGATGTGGCCACGTCCCAAGACGACTGTTACAAGTTCGCCATCTCACAGTCCTCCACAGGCACTGTTATGGGAGCTGTTATCATGGAGGGCTTCTACGTGGTCTTTGATCGGGCCCGAAAACGAATTGGCTTTGCTGTCAGCGCTTGCCATGGTAAGAGCACCCGGCACGGGGGTGTGGGGTCAGTCTTCCATGTTCTCCCTGTCCAGCAGTTAGGACCCGGGGGGCCCTGCCAGTCTGGAGGGAGTAACGGTTGCCTCAACCCAGTAACGTATTGTGCAAAGCTAGGACCAGCACTTGTGCTTTTTGTATCATCTGGGCTGGTGACCCCTGCCTGGACTGCAACCTCTGTTGGAGATCCAGAGTAGCAAGAGCTGCCTTGGCACCATGGGAAGCTCTAGATTCAAGAGCAGGCAGTAGGCTGGGTGTATAGGACCCTGTCGGCTTCCCTCTGATGAGGCTGAAAGCTCCTTCAGAATGGTGGCAGGGTCTTGCAGCTGGATTTCAGCAGTAGCAGGTGAGTTTACTTGGGCTTATGGGGCTGGCTTTTTGGTTAACTCAGAGTGACAGACTTCAGGACAGGTAGACAGGAAAGAGTGTTGCTCACAACCTGAGAGGAAAGCCATGCCTCCATTTAGCACGGCTTACTGTCCTGCTCCCAGATATTTCCAAGCAAGGCGTCTCCCCAGCCTCCACAGGGCCAACTTCGAGAACTCACTATCAGGGAGTTCTTCCTGTGGCTTAAACCAAACTGCTAGATGGCCGTGAGAGTTGCCTGTTCACATTTGCCCTTTCCCCAGTGCATGATGAGTTCAGGACGGCAGCGGTGGAAGGTCCTTTTGTTACCCCGGACATGGAAGACTGTGGCTACAACATTCCCCAGACAGATGAATCCACCCTCATGACCATCGCCTATGTCATGGCTGCCATCTGCGCCCTCTTCATGCTGCCACTCTGCCTCATGGTGTGTCAGTGGCGCTGCCTTCGCTGCCTCCGCCACCAACACGATGACTTTGCTGATGACATCTCCCTGCTGAAGTGAGCAGGTGCATGGGCAGAAGATGGAGATTCCCTGGACCACATCTGGGTGGTTCACTTTCACTTTGGTCACAAGTAGGAGACACAGGTGGCACCTGTGGCCAAAGCACCTCAAGACCCTCACTCACCTGCCAAATGCCTCTGTCTTGACAGAAATGAAGGAAAGCTGGCAAGGTGGGCTGCAGGGATTGTGCCTGTGGCAAACAGGAGAGGGAAGAAAGAAGCACTCTGGTGGCGGGAATACTCAGTGCAAACTTGAGTTTGGAAATTCTGCTGCTTGAAACTTCAGCCCTGAACCTTTTCCCTCCATCCCTTTAGATTCTCCATCCCAAAGTATTCTTCTTTCCTGAGGTCCAGAAGCAGTGGCATCACACCCAGTGTCTGTCTCTGGAATGTGCTGGCAGAGAAAAGGCCAGTCTTGTTTCTCCGCTGGCCAGTCAGTGGGAGCAGAGGCACAGTCTGCTATTTGCTTTAGAGATAGGAGCTGTACAAACAAGCCTAACACTGGTGCAAAGACTGCCTCTCTAAGTACAAATAATTGCATTGAAAATTTGTACAAATAGGGGTGACTGGAAGAGGAGGAGAGGAGGGCTGAGACAGGGACCCAACGGATCAAAGCTTAGAAGGGCAGAAAAATAACCGCCTGCCAGCCCCAGATTTCGATGGCATCTCCAAGACAGAATCCCATCTCAGAAGATGGGTGTTACTTCCTAAGGCTTCCTTTTCTGTGGTGGGCAGCCTAACCAAAATAAGATGGAAAGAAGGGATTATCTAACCAAAATGGGGCTTTTTAGCTCTCTTAAATTGAAAAGTACCCACTAAGAAATTCCATTTAACAAATGAATTTCTACCTTATTAACTCCACTTGTCTGTACCTGAGCCCTTCACTCTACATATGACAGGTAGCACTGAAATATCCCAGCTCTCTTAAAATCCTAGGTGCCCTATGGGAAAGCAAATAAAGCAGGACTGAGCTTTGTCTTCCTGGCGTATGTTCACTCCCTTCCCCAAGTCCTTACTCCTCTGGAGGTTTGCAGCTGAGGTGCTAAGAGAAATAGATAGAAGCCCTCTCCAACCTAATCCCTGAAAAAGAATCACTCAACAGGTAGAGGAGTCAGTTTCCTATACCTCTGTCTAGATCTCTTCCTGTCCAGCTATTAGAACTAGTAAGATCTCCGCCTAATACAGAGCAGTTTCCTTGTGTTCACATCTTCTCTATTGTTCCCTCCAACTACCTGGCTAAGACACCCCACAGGACATTAGAGTATTATACCAAGAGTGTCTGAAGCACGGAGCTTTCTAGCTCCAGCATCATCGCCTTCAGTATCAAGGTGTGTGTAGAGAAGAGAGCTGCTTCAGGGCTTCTTTCTTTCACCGCTAGCGCTGCTCAGTGGAGGCCGTCCTTTTCCCCATCCTGTTCACTACTCCCCACTCTCCACCTAAGCACTTGGGTACCCAGACTGGTTCTTGGGCTAGGTAGTGGGGGCCAAAGTTATTTCCTCCCTATCAGTTCTAACAGTAAACTCTGACACCAGTGTTAATAGGAAGAGCTGAATTTTCCTAGTATACCCACTGGATCCTATCCCTCTCTGGTCAACACACTGCTGCCAGGCGTGGGACGAGTGTAGAACTACCTGATGAGGGAGAGGGAAACACACGGATGGCCTCTGGAGATCCTGGCCTTGGCCAGCTGCCCACAAGCCATAAACCAATAAACAAGAATTTTGAGTCACAGTTTTTAATCTGGGTTCTCTTCATTCCCACGGCACTCAGTTCTGCCTTGGCTGACTGGGAACACCCCCAGACCACAGACTGACAGGAAGAATGGAGACTGTCCACTTCCAGCTCGGAACTTACTGTGTAAATAAACTTCCAGAACTGCTACCATGAAATGAAAATGCCACATTCTGCTTTATAATTTTACCCATTAGGAAAAACTGGCTTTTCCTAGCTCTTTCCAGGGCATAATATTTGACACCTTCATTAGGACATCCCATTGTCTTAATTTTCAAAGAGAAAACTTGTACTTATTTTTCCTTTTACAGTTATTTACTTCCTTTCTGCCCTGAAACTATTAACTCTACATGTAAAAAGAAAATCACGACAACAAATTCTTGCTTGTAAAAATACGTATCATCTATCTCTTTTAAACTCCACTCCATAAACTGACTGTCCGTCTCTGCTCACTGCAGTCGGAGCCTTTCCCATCTGCCTGCCTGGCTTTTACATGCAAGCCAGTGGACAAAGGGAAAAGGGGGAACAGGGTGGCCAAAACTGAAGTGTTACCTTGTGGCTGATGCTGAACAAGAAAGAGGGAGGAACAACAGAAAGGCCCGGCTCCCATGCACATCTTTTCTACACACCTGTGCTGCTACTGCAGTGGCTTTCTGGGGCTTTCCCACGAGGCAATCAAGCCTCCTTACTCCATCTCCTCTCTCACTACTTCTTTGGTTGCAAACATTTTGTGGGGGGCAGAAACCCAGAATATACTTTATACCTATTTCTAATTTCTAAGTTTCAGAGAATACTGAAAAAATATTACAAGTAGCCCAAAGGCTGTTGCAAAGTTCAGGGGAGAGAAAAATCTTAAGATTCTCTAAGATTAAAGAATACAAAATAAACACCCCACCCCACTGAAAAGAACAAAGGAACTGGTCTTCCACTTTGCCACATTTCCCATTCAAGACAGCTACCAACCTGGAGATTTTATTTCACTGACCAAAGAAAGTAGACCACTTGACCTCGACAGCGGGAGGACTCCGGCCATTTCAATTGCCTGACAAGATGCCAAGAAGGCCCCAGGAGCCCAGCTAGTCAGTAAACCTGCGCAAATGTGGCAAGAGAAGAGAAAGAATACACCCAGAGAATGTAAGACAAAGAAAGAAAAGAGTAACAACAACCAAAAGAGCTGGATCCGAAAAAAGTCTCTGCAATCCTGGTAAGTACTGCAGTATTGCTGACATCGGTAAGCATTTCCACGTCCCAGAGTGGGAATAGTTCAATTGTTAGGAATATAGGATGTCCTTCCCCTGAAGCTCATTTTTTTAAATTAACACTTACTTTTCACTTGTTTGACTCCAAAGGAGAAGGGAGTCGAAGCCATTTGCTGCAGGAGTAAAGGTAAAAGAACAGAATAGATGTAAAGCACTAGAAGAATCACAGCTTTCCCCAGTATAAACCTAAAAACCAGAAGTGCTCAACAGGCAGAAGTGGCAAATTATCTAACTCCAGATCGCTATCTAGAACAAAATGACTCATAAACTTGAAATCCAACCTCCCCTCTTTCTATCACTTCGGTCTCCATTTTTCCGCAGCACAGGATGCATGTACCCCATAGCCTCCTTGCATCAAACATTAAAACCCAACATGCCAAGATCATTCTGAAAGTAATTTTGCACAGACATCTCTTCACCCCAGTGCCTGCCTGGAGCTCACCCAAGGTCACCAAACAACTTGGTTGTGAACCAACTGCCTTAACCTTCAGGGGGGAGGGGGGCTAGCTAGACTAGGAGACTAGACATGAAGAAGAGGTGAGGATTCCACAGGCTGGTCTGTCAGAGCTTGATCAGAAGCCAAGTCAGTGGTGGCAAGGGATGGCTTGGCCCAGAAAAGACCTTGGGTTGTGCTAGTTTCTAAAGAGATGACTATCTAGGATGTAGAATAGACAGAAGTTTGTGGGGGATGTGAGGGAAGTGGGACCTGGTTATGCTGTTATTCTTGGACTGTGAATTTTGCTGATGTAAAACAGAATATTCTGTAAACCTAATGTCTATGTACAAATAATGAGTGTTAACACAGTAAAATATCCAATGAAAGTCAAACTGCTAGGGCTACATTTTTTCCCCTCAATCAACCATATTTTACCCATTTGGAGCAGAGTGGCTAAAAAAAAAACAACACTGAGGCTTCTGGAAGCTTTCAGTAAGCAAGGCATCTGGTTGGACAGCAGGTGAGCACCAGGGTTCAAATCTGCATACATGAGCCTTAAGAAAATGGACTAGAGGCTGAGCCAAATCAAAGCATGATGGCCTCAGAGCAACAGCAGCTTCCTAGATGGTTTTATATTGTATTTAAAAACAGCCCAAGGCAAGAATATCATAACTTCAAGGGCAGACTAAACATCTTACCTACAATCTGTATCCCCCAAAGGAACTGCAAGATGAGGGGGACAGACCATTTCTGCATAATATACATACTTTCATTTACCAACATTTGAATACAGACTTTCTATACACACATTACCTATATAATAAAAATGTACATGGCATGAGTATATGTCACTGTATAAATATAGAGTTTTAGAAATCTTGAACCCGCGCTTCCTGTTCACATCAGTTTCTCCTCTTCTTCCTCCCCAGTCCGGTCTGTCATTTAAGAGTCGGACAAAAAGGACAAGCATCATTTGTGTTGGTCTGGGCCCAGAATTTGATACACTAGAAAGAAAGAAAGGCACATCTCAGGGTTATCTGGAATTTTAGAGGAGAGAGAGGATCATGAAGAGTTCAGCAGGCCTAAGTGTAGGCTAAGTCAGGACAGCTCTTACCAAGGGCAATTAGTAGGGTTATTTCATTGGCTTTTCAGAGCAGGTGAACCTGTTCTTTTTACAAGGAACATTAACAATTTGCTAATTAAGACTGTGATGTTTTATGTGTAGCCTGAGTTTCCATTTCTTAATACCTATCATCCTTAAATCTCACTTTTCCCTTACCAAGAATTTACATAAAAATTCAGTTTTTATCCCTTGTAAAAACAAAATGAACATAATGAAGAGTAAAGAAGGAATCACCCCTGCTGCTCATCTTAACTCTGTGCCTGGTAACATAATAAGATAATAGGAGTAACTTGGCAGTTTGGTGAAGACAATTTCTAAGAGGCAGACCTTCAAGCTGTTCTGTTAATGGAGCTACTTATCTCATATTCAGGTTCCCTATTCTTCTCATCTAGCCAAAGTCTCTTGACAATTTCTATATTTGAAACAACAGATATATACATCTTATTGTTAATTTTTCAAGAAAGTGACCTATCAGTGTTCTAGTATGAACTGTTTATGTAGCTCCCTACAGGAAATGAGGTAAAAGGGAGCTGGGAGAGCCCAGCTGCCAGTATTCTGAATTCTGCTGATGTTTTAGCCACAATTTACAGAAAGCCTTCCTTGTTTAGATTTTAGTGATGAGCTCGACGCAATAAAACTGTTCAACAAAATTAAATATCTCAGATGTAAGAAAAAGAGTAGAAAACCAGAAGATAGGTAGCACCAACCTCCTTGTGTAACACGTGGGTACATGTCATTGGGTGGAGCTCACTGGGCTGGACAAGTTTCTGGCACATTAGACACAGCTTACAGGTGGCTGGAGCCTGTAGAGCAACAGACGGACAGTCAACATGTCAGGAATCTCTGTGTCTCCTTGCTTTTTATCTACTCTTTCCATATAGCAAAAAGATTCTACACCAAAAGAAATAAAGTTCAAATACAGACCCTTCCCAGAAGTACTTGCATTTCCCCATTTTAGGGCTGCTATCAGTCCAGCTGATGAGATGAGTTCTCTCTTGCACTCTACCTATCAGCCCACCCCCTCCTCACCCCCCAGACTCAATACATCCCAGTTTTCAAAGGAAAGAATCTTACATGTGAAGACCTTCCAGGATATGAAACCTGGGCAGAAGGCAAGAACATTGGAGTGTTGATTTGGGCCAATGGAGCAGGGAATAAGGCCCGGATCCGACCAAGTGGCTGAGGACAGAAAGACCATCAGAATAAGGGGGAAAAGCCAGCATAACAGAACATGTAACACAAAGAAATCAATCTTTTCCCAGTCCAGCAAAGGAAGAAAAGAGAATAGACACCTAGACACCCCGGCTACAATGCTGCTTCCCAGCCTGGATTTCTCTGAACTCTGCCCTTCCCGACACCTCAGCAGGTCTGAGCACCCAGCGCCCGCTGCGCACCCCTTTCCCGACACCTCAGCAGGTCTGAGCACCCA